CCTTAATTTGGGAAAAAATTTATGCCAAGAAAATTGGTGACGAGCAGAAACGTTATCAATTTTTTTAAATTTTTTTGATATTGGAAATTTCTAATAGATAAAACCGAAATTGAAAAAGTTCTCCATAAAAAAAATTTCTTCATGTGAAATATAATGATTTTTTCTATTTTTTTTTAAATATATTCAGTTTGAAATCATGATTTTTAATTTTCTTAATTATGGAAACGTAGAAAAGAATGAGATGAAAACATATAAAAAAGTTGGTTAGAACAACATTTTGGAAATAAATTCTAAGAAAAATTTCATTCAAGAAAAAAAAGAACTTTATATGGAATTTTTCATATCTATCCGGGTAATATTTTTTATTACTAATAGATTCATAAAAAATACAAAATAAATGAAAACTGTTTTGAAAAAATTTTGTTAATCCTAATATTTCTATTTAAATAACTCCAACGAAAATGGCTCTGATATATTTGCCAACCATTAGCCGAATTTGAAAAAAAGAAACAAATGTATATATTTCCGCATTATATACTATATTTTTTATAATTATTCTTTAAACAATCCAATATTTAGCAAAAAAGAAAAACTCAAAAAATTATCTTAATTAAATCTCTCTATATTCCTTTTGAATCGCTTGAGAAAGTTTTTTGAACTTGGCTTTTGTGAACAAATAAAAGAATTTTGAAAACTTTCAAAAAATTCTTAATGCCATTAATTTATAAAAATAAATATATATATTCCATTACTATGGTTGCCTCGTATCATTGAAAAATTAAACAAAACTTGAAAATAAATGATTGAAATATGATTGTTAATAGGTGTTTGAAATAATTTTTTAATCATAAAATTTGAAATGTGGGAAAAAAATCCAAAATATTTAAATATTTAAAGTGAGATATATATTATATATATATATATATATATATTTTATATATATATATATATATATATATATATATATATATATATATATAATTTTTTCTATCTATATAACCTTTTTCTTAAAGACTATTAAAATCAAATATTTAAAAAATACGATATTTAATTTCAGACTTCGTAATTTTTTTTTTTTCCAATTTAACCATTTTCAAAATTATTCAATAATTAACTTAAAAAAGTTTCATCTGAAAATTCTGAATTTTTTGCTGTGAATTTTCATTCTGTAAACCGTCGTAAAAAAAAATCTAAAGTTCATTATTTATTTGCCTGCGTCAATCATCAATCTTCTTTTTCATTGGTAGTTCTAAACGAATTTTTGAATAAATTTTTTATATGTGTCAAGCCATTTACACAAGGCTCATGTGATAGTTCAAGTCACTCATTTCCTTAAATTGTTCTCCCAAAATTTCTATGATCTTGTTCAGTTTTAAATATTATCCAAAAGGTCAAGTCATATATTAATTTTAATTTGATTTTTCATTGTTTCACGTCCTCGTTTAGTTTTTCTGTATTCTAACCCGGTCTAAAAAGACCTGTTGCGTACGGAAGATAATTTATCCTGGATTTTGGAATCATTTTTTCAATTTCGTTTTAACTTCTTTCTTTTTAAACAAAAGATAAATGCGTCAATGAATTTTTGCGTATTTCTGAATTTTGCACAAAACCGAAAGCAATTACCATAAATTCAGGAAAAAAATTCAAAATATTAATTATATTAAAAAAAAATTTTAAATTTTTATTTTAAAAATAAATTTTCTTTTATCTTTGTTTAAAATTTAATTTAACAAGATAACAGTTTATAAAATTTAAATACAAGATATTAACAAGTATGTTTTTGTTTTTCGATTTTTTTTCTTACTAATATAATTGTAATTTTCCTCGTCACATTTTTTTTTTAAGCTTAATTTGATTTTTTTTTTTCTTAACCAAATTCAATTTTTTTTTTCTATGATCCATAAAATGTTTGAATCTATTATAAATTTGGGGTACACAGTGCTAGGATTGATTAAAACTCGTAAATATAAATTTTTTCTTGAGTTAAAAAAAAATAATTTACTTTTTATTTATGGTCGATGTTTCTGCTTGTTTTTTTAATTAATTCCATTTGTTTTTCCCTCCAGGTATAAAACAATCCAGAAAAGATGATAAGTTTTTAAAAAATTGTCAAATTTTATTTAATTTCACCAACCTGAATAAATAAATCCATCAACACAAATGTCCACACACAATCTCTTTCTATGGTATTCTTACGCTCGTCTTTCAATATATCTAAGGTTGTTTGGGATTCTTCATTTGGAAGAAACTTCTCAAACAACAGAATGCAGACAGATGTAAAATAAAATATTTTATACAGCGTTTTCTTTGGTCAATAAGAAATTTTTGTTTCATAATAACATTTTCATTATTCCGTGAAAAATCTTTCTTCATATTTAATCACACCCAACCTTCCATGTGAGAATGATTTTCTGTCCTCTTTTCATTCATCATTTAAGATCATCAATTTTTTTTTTTAAGTTTTCTCTAAGTTTAAAATTTTGCGATATTATTAAAAATCATTAAAATCATATATTAACAATCGACAAAATTGATATTTATCATAATTAATTTTTTTACCATAAAGGTATCTATTAAAATACATATATATCAATATATATATATATATATATATAAATATATGATAGTTATTTAATTTGTCCTTTTTTTGTGTGTGTGTGTGTTGAGAATAAAATTTTGAAAAGATTCATAAAATACAAACTTGTCCCAGCCGGCTATTATTGGGATCAATGCGACATTATAACAATTTGTTGTTTCACATTTTTTTTGTGAATAGTTATCGGTTATTTAACATGAAAATCGCAAAGTGTTTAAAAAAAAATTAAAAATTTCATTTATCGTTCTTGAAACATCCAGAACAAAATTTAATATAAATTTCCAAAAATATATTAAATGCCTATAATTTATAACAGAAGCCATTGGTTTATACCAACGGCTTCCCATACTTAATACTTCTCATTTTCACTCTTCGCGTGGTCATGTGACGTCACGAGCTGCGACGCGATTTTCGCTTCCGCGTCTTGTATATACGAGTTTGTCGTTGCTTTGAAATTTTTCATGCAACAAAAAAAAACTATCATTATTGTTTCGTCCGTGTATTGTTTGATATATTGAAATTTGTCATCTTTGATAATGGCTTATGTAAGCCGAAAGCTTAGATTGGATTTAAAAATGTATCAATATGGTGTTTTTTTATTTCATCTTTCAATGATAATGTTATTAAGCTTATCAGACAATATGAAAGGAACTTACTTAAAAAAATAAATAAAACTACTTTTCCATCTTAAGGTGTTGGAAATTTCGTTTTACATCAGGTCCAAATAATGTTCTGAAATTTGCAAACAAAGAGATTGTTTGCTTCATTGACTTGTCGAAATTCTGCGGTCTTCTAGCAGCTTGGTTGGTATAATTTTTTTTCCTTCCCTGTCCATTCATTCATGTCATCCATGACAGAAATTTTCTTTTCCTCAACAATCCTTCCCCGTTAATAGTTCTGACGAGAGGGGACGAAACCGGTCGACTGGTGTGTTTTATTTTAAAATATCATCATGGCCTACAATAAAAATTTCTAGTTTTTAAAGCCTTAATACGCTTTTTTTTACCGTTTCAAACCTATTTAAATATATATATATATATATATATATATATATTTACATATAAAAAAATTAACTCAAATATCGGAATAACTAATTCATAAAATATTTTAATTTCTTTTTCGTCAAACTAAGTATTTGTATATTGCTGTAAAAAAAATACATATTTCTATTAAAATAAAAAACATCGAGCTTATCTGTGATTAGTTTTAATAAATTAATTTATAGGTTCCCATGGATTATATATATATAATCATAACCTGTATATATATATATATATATATATATATATATATAATAAAATTTAATAAATTAATTTAAACATTTTCTAACTATTTTCGATAGATTCCTTTCATATTCACGGAAAATATTCATTTTTCGTTAGTTATTGAATTTTTCTCGTTCTTCTGAAAATATATGTTATATTTATACATTCTTTATTCTCCGAGTTAACTCGACATTCGTTATGTTATTAAACGTATTGATAATTATAGTATATATATTTATATCCCTGCTTATTGAAAGTTTGTTATTTGTTTATTATGCTTTGAATTTATTTTTGGCACAGTTTCAATTAGGTAACTAGATATGTTAGAAAATTTTTCCGACATAAGTATTCGAAAAATAGAGGAAAAACTATTACTACGAACACTGATAGTTTAAAAACTATCTATTATACACATTTTAAAAATTTGCTTTATTATATATATATATATATATATATATATATATATATATATATTGTTCCATTTAATTAATATTGTTTATACGTTTAAATTATAAATATAAAAAAGTAAATGCTCCGTTTTTTTAAATTAAATTTACCAGCCTGAATGTTCGAATGAAATTTCTCCTTTGAAAAATATACAGAACTCTTTAAAGGAATAGAATCTGTAACTTTAATGGGATTTTTCATTTTAATCGGACGTTTTTCCAATGCCATTCAGCTGGTTTGAATATTCTGAATTTTCAAAGTCCTTGACTGTTTATAAACACACATCCCTTTATATCTATTTCTCTCGATCGATTTAATCTTTTCCCGAAACATGGACCTTAACGTAAACAATGACAATTATTGTGAAATGGTTTAATATATTTTCCATGTTTATATATTTTTTTCTAAAATATATTTTTATAGATATAATTTGTAGTATCCTTTTTTCAGTGTTATTTACATTTGCCGACCAGAATGCCAGCCAGAATATTCGAGAAATTTCGTAGAAAATACGCGCTCTCTGACAGAAATCGAACCTGTAGCCCTAATGGGAACCGTCATTTGATCTGCTGTTAGCCATCAAATTCAGATCAAATATGGATAGGAATCTATGAATTCAATCTCCAAAACTCTTAATTACTTATGGTTTTCTTTTACACTTCATTTTCCATTACACCATCTACGCGTCCATGCCTACAGCACCTAATATTCCCAAGCGGACACCCATCTAAGTACTGAAAAGTCTCGATGTTGCTTAACTTTGGTGAACCGGTGTTTCAACGTGATGTGGCCGTATTTTTTTTACAGTATTTTTGAAAATGATAATACAATCTTTTTTTATTTTTTGAATACTTTCCTGGTCTATTGTCCCTAAAATATATTTAATTTCCTTGATAAAAATTTCAAAGAAAATCTACAATATTATTGGTCCTAATCTGGCATCTCAATTTAGTCAATTTCCACCGACGTAATGTAGATTATATATAAATATATATATATATATATATATATATATATATATATATTTATATATGGGGTCATGATATATAAAAATTTATATATCAAAATAATTTGGGGTGAAAAATTTTAAGGACAAAAAAATAAAGTTTTTAGTGTGACGATTTTCGTTTTGTTGACTTTATCAGACTAATTTTGTTTATCTTGTTGCTACAAAACTAATATAAACTGACATAAAGAATGCGTTTAAGCGATTGTGCAATGAACGTGAAAAGTCCACACTTGATAATTACGCAACATTGTTATCTGCAGAGTCAGAAATAGTAAATTAAATTGCGTTCGGACAAGTGTTTTTATATTACTTACACCGTAGGTACGTAGGTAGGCTGGTAAGAAGTTCATTATTAATAAATAGATTAATATTATTATCACCAACTAAATTATCAAAGTCTTTCCCGCCATTGTGGAGACAAAAAAAAATGTCTGTATTATGGCAGTAATTGAGAGAAAAACAATAGAAAGTTGTAAGTCGTGGGGTCGGACATAAATGAGGTATCTCTATATATTTCGGCAAATTATTGGCCGACAATTGATAAGCAAATATTGTTCTGTTTCGCTTTGCGTCAAGAAAATAAAAACAAAAATGGACAAAAAATATGGAAATTTAAAATGCCAATGGGTATGGTATCATATACTCATATGTGGCAATCGGTTTTAAAATTTCAGTTGACTAGTTTCACCACGTTCTCGCTGTCTCTCATAAATATCTTTCAAAATCTCTCGGTGTTTTTCTTTTCTTTTCTTTTTTTTAATTTATTTCTTTTCTTTTTTTTTCTGTTTTGTCCCTTTTTTTCCGTATTCATATATCACCTTTCTTTTTTTTTTTCTATAAATTTTCAAAAGATTAAACCTGGACCTGACTTTTATCTGTCTCTCCTCGTTTCTCTCCCCGTTTCACACTTTTCCTGTCTCTCTCTCACTTTCTTTTTCTCGTTTTCTCTCTCTCTCTTTCTTTCTTTCTCTCTCTCTCTCTCTCTGTTTCGTCTACACTTTCCCCTATTTTTTTTTCTGTCTTTTCGCTCTATCATTCTATTTATTTTCTCTTTCTCTTTTTCTTTTTCTTTCTCTCTGAATCTCTCTCATCTATTTATCTATCTATCTATCTGTCTATCTTTTTTCTCTCTCTCTCTTTATTCTGGCTCTCGTCTATTTCTCTTAAAATCTTTCTCTCTAAAAAAAAAAGAAAAATCCCCTATAAAGTTTCTGTTCTCTGGTCTCTAATTCCAAAAAAAATCTGAAAATTTACTCTTTCTCCTGCCTGTCTCTTTTTTTCTTCACTGTTATAATCTCCCTCTCTTTATCAATTTTTCCTTTCTATTTTATTTTTTCTCTCATATTCTGTGAATGAAAAATCTCTTGTTTTCTCTATTTTTTTCCTTTTCTCTCTACTATTTTTTTTTCTCAAATTTCTTTATCTCTCTGCTTTATTTTCTTTATTTTCTCCCCCTCTAGTAACAATCAAATCATCCTGAAAATGCCGGTTCTTTGATCGATCGCCAAAGTTAAGCAGCGTACAGCCCGGTCAGTACTTCGATGGCTGACCACTTGAGAACACCGTGTACCGTAATCCTACAATGCAAATTAAACGAATATGTTTCGGATTTAAATAACCCACAGAGGGTTGGTAAACCGTAAATAAAAAAATTAGTTCAATCAAAAATCTTTTTTATTTTTCTGCGACTTATCTTTTCATTCTTTTTTCTTTTTTTGGTTTTACTTAAAAAACTTTTCCATCTTTCTCCTCGGTATATTTCCATTTTTTTTCTTCTTTGATTCCTTTTTTTCTACAGCTATTTATCATTTTTTGTTCCTCTTTCTCTTTTCTTTCATTTCTTTGTATCTTTCTGTCTTTTCTTTCTTTTGTTTTTACTTTCTTCTATCTCTTTTCTTCCCCTCTTTCTCTTCATTTTCTCCTCTCTCTCTTTCTCCTCATTTCTTCTCTCTTAATTATATACTGCTCTTTTCCCTTTTATTGTCTATTTTTCTCTCTATTCTTCCTCCTCTTTCTACAACAATTCGTTAACTCTTTTTTTGTCCCTCTTTCTCTTTCCTTTTTTTCATTTTGCCGTATCTTCCTCTCTTTCTCTGTCTCTCTACTACCCTCTTTCTCTCCCTATCTCTCTCTTTCTTCTTCTTCTTCTTCTTCTTCTTCTTCTTCTTCTTCTTCTTTTTCTTCTTCTTCAAAACCTCTCTCCTTATCTATTTCTTTGTTTCGCTTTCAATTTCTATATTTTATCTTCACTTCTTTCTCCATTTTCTCGCTCTTCCCATGATCTCCCTCCCACTATCTCTCTGCACTGCTCTCTTTCACTCTCTTTACCCCTCTCTTTTTATATCAGTTTTTCTACTGGGTGATCCGAAAGTCTTGCTTCCCTACCAAAATGTAATGAGAACAATAGAAAAACAAGTCATATAGTAATACAAAGCACGTGTACTGGATTCAGTTTTATGCACTTTCATTGACGTTGTTACACATCGAAAAGGTCTGTATGAAGAGCATCATTTTCGAGTCAGCCATCTGAAATAGAAAATTATAGAATGTAGGGGTGACAAGACTTTCGGACGAAACTGTAATATAATGTAATATGTATAATATTGCTAATGGTGGACTATAGATTTCTCTGAATAAAGAATGAGAAAATGAAGAAGAAAGAACAGGCAAAATATTGCGAGGCAAAATATTGCGAAGCAAAATATTGCGAAGCAAAATATATACAGCATGGTCCGAAAGTATTGTCACCCCTATCAAAAATGTAATGAGAACAATAGATCAAGTCATACAATAATAAAAAGAACTAAAGTATTCAGTTTCTTCACTTTCATTGACGAGAAAGGTCTGTATGAACACCATCATTTTCGTGGCAGCCATCTGAAAATTATATAAGGTAGACGTGACAATACTTTCGGACCACCTTATACCGGCTTGGTGAGAGTAGTCGTGGCTCCCGGGGGCACAGTCTTATGGTTACAGAGAACTCAGTAGAGTTCCGCCACAGAATATGTGAGTGAGCGGCGCTAAGTTGAGTCTGATTTGAATCTCTTCGTTATCGAGACCCATTTGGTACAGTTGGTATGATGTTCGCTTGACAACCCAACTGTCAGGGTTTCGGTATTTGGTGGTGGATGCGCACTGCTGATGAGTCCCAATTATAGGAGGAAACGGCCGTCCAGTGCTTCCTCTATTTCCTGTTGAGGTTTCTATCAGAATTAATTATTATCAAATCCTCCTATTAATTTTTTTTTTATTTTTATATATATATATATATATATATATATATATATATTCGTTTCACTTTTTGAAAGTGAAGTCTGAAGATCCAGAGAATAAAATTCTTACAAATGGAGCCTTAAAGTGGTCTGTTTTTTTAAAAAATTAATATATATATATATATATATATATATATATATATATATATATATATATATATATATATATATATATATATATATATACATATGATGTCTCTCTATATGTCTTGTGTGATATTTATTCTAGCTGTGCTTTGTTTCTTTTGCTGCAAAGGCTCTCCGAAAGACGTCCTTCATCTGAAGGGTATTCTGGTATCGTTCATGTAAAACCCTCTCCTTTATAATACCCCCCACAGAACGTTGAAATAGAATATTATATGATGTACGGATGACAAGACTTTCGGACCACCCTGTACTATGTTATTGATCCTGACCTGGCATCTCGCCTTCAGGCACTTTCCCACCGTCGAAATGTAGATTCTCTGTGCCTTTCGTGGTAATTGTTCTGACGAACTTTTCTTTGTGGTAAATGCACTTTATGAATTTTCTGAGTATATAACTTGTTTATTTTTAATTTTCTAATTTTCTAATCGGGCACGAACTTTTGCAATGTTAGCATTAACTCTTTGGCTTCCAGTTAATAACTCATTCTCTAACGATTCACTCAGTATATGACAGGAATTTATAATTATAACACAGGTAAATTATATGTGCTATTTAATAGATGCAAAATTCCTAAAAGTGTGAATAACATATTTTTTTTTTTTTTTTTGTGAAAATTGATATGCTACAGGGTGGTCCGAAAGTCTTGTCACCCCTACGAAAAATTAATGCAAACAATAGAAGGAAATGTAATACAGTTATTACAAATCACATGTACTGGACTCAATTTATTCACTTTCATTGATGCAATCACACATCGATAAGGTCAGTCTAAACACCATCATTTTCGAGTCAGCCATCTGAAATAGAAAATTATATAATGTAAGGCTGACAAGACTTTCTGTCCAACCTGTACGCACAATGTAAATATATTGCTAATGGTTGACTATAGAATGCTTTGAATAAACAATACGAAAAGGAAGAAGAAAGAACAGGGCAAAATATTGTGACGCAAACAATATAAAGCGTGGTCCGAAAGTCTTGTCTCCCCTCACCAAAAGTAATGAGAACAACAGAAGAACATGTAATACAGTAATACAAATCACATGTACTTGATTCAGTTTTATTGACTTTCATTGAAGCAATCACACATCGAAAAGGTCTGTATAAACACCATCATTTTCGTGTCAGAACATCTGAAATAGAAAATTATATTATATACGGGTGACAAGACTTTCGGACCAACCCGTGTGTACAGTGCAATTTCTTCCATCGCACTTCTCGCTTGTGGAAATCTCTTCCGGATTCTAGCATCCCAATTTACTAAGATCTTCATAAATTTAAATGTAATATTAATCGTTATCTTCTGTATTTTTAATTCATGTTCTTATATCTGTTTTTCTACAGGGTGATCTGAAAGTTTTGTCACCATTACGAAAAATATAATGAGAACAATAGAAGAACAAGTCATATAGTAATACAAAGCACATGTACTCGATTCGGTTTTATTCGCTTTCATTGACGCTGTCACGCATAGAGAAGGTCTGTATAAACACCATTATTTTCGAGTCAGCCATCTGAAATTTATAAATTATATAATGAGGGGGTGACAAGACTTTCTGACCGACCTGTAATATAATGTAATATGTATAATATTGATAATGGTGAACTATAGAAGCAAACAATATGCAGCCTGGTCCGAAAGTCTTGTCACCCCTTACCAATAATGAGATCAATAGAACAAGTAATGGTTAATACAAAGCACAAGTACTGTGTTCAGTTTATTCACTTTCATTGACGCTGTCACATATTGAGAAGGTCTGTGGCACAAAATAATGCATCGCCATGTCCTGTGTGACATTTTACGAAGCTGTGTTTTGTTGATTCGCAGCAAATACCCTCCGAACGGCGTCCTTCAACTGGTGGGTATTCTGGTATCGTTCATATAAAACTCTCTCCTTGATAAAAAAAAAAAAAAACCCACTGAGCACCGAAATAAAAAAATTACGTTATCTAGGGTGACAAGACTTTTGGACCACCCTGTATGTTTCTCATATAGCTTTTAGCTATCTTTGTTTCTCCTTTCCTTTCTATGTGTTCTCTTCTTCCCCCATGTCTCTCTTTATCGATTTCTCTCTATCTCAACTTACCTTTTTCTCCTCCTCCTCCTCCCCTTTCTAGAGCTTTGTCCTTCCCTATTTTCCCTTTCCCATTCTCTTTCTATGCTTTATCTAATCTTTCTTTCTCCGTCTCTTTGTTCCACTCTCAGTCTGTCTTCCTCGTCTGCTCTTTCCCCTCTCTCATTTCTTACATCCGTTTCTCTCTCTCTCTCTCCTCCTCTTTTCTCCCCCTCTTTCTACATATGCTCTCCTATCTATTTCATTGCTTCTACTTCACTTTCTGTTTTTTTATCTTCCTTCTTTTCTCTCCCCCCACCACGTCCTTTCTTGATTTCTCTCTATCTCTATTTTCGCTTTTTCTTTTTTTTTTCTTTCTTCATTTCTCTTCGTCTCTCTTTTGTGTTTTTTTCTCTATATTTCATCTTCCTTTCTTTTTCCATATTTCTCTCTTTTATTTCCAGTGTCTCTCTCTCTCTCTCTCTATGTCTGTTCTGTCCTCTCTCTCTCTCTCTTTCTCTCTCTCTTTTTCTTCTCTCTCTTTCTCTCTCTTTCTCTCTCTATCGTCCCCTTATTCCTCTCTTTTTTTTTCTCTTTCTCCCCTTATTTCCCTCATCTATCTTCTATTTTTCCATATTCACCCCCTCTTCGTATCACAGACTCTCTCTTTTCTTTCTTTATATATCCCATCCTATCTTGATCTTTTCCCTACTTTTTCTATATATCATTATCTCTCTGTTTTTCTTTCTATATATCTCCTCTTATTTTTCCTTCATTCATTCTATTTTTTCATAACAGACTCTTTATCACCTCTCTCTCTCTCTTTATGTCTGTTCCCTCCTATCTCTCTCTCTCTTTCTCTCTCTTTCTATATATCTATCTTATCTTATTCCTCTCTCTGCTTTTCTTTCTATATCTCCTTTATTTTTCCCCTCATCATCATTCTATTTTTCATATTCACTCCCTTCTTCGTATCACAGACTCTCTCTCTCTCTCTTTCTATCTCTCTATCTCTCTCTCTCTCTCTCTTATCTTTCTTGTTTTTTCTGTCTTTCTCTTCCTCTGTTTCTGTCTATGTTTCTTTTCCTTTTTCTCACTTTTTCTCCTTCTCTTTCTACATATCCCTTCTTGAAGCTTCTCATTTCATTTTTCTTTTTTTTTGTTTCCTTTCTTTTGAATCCAGGGAAAACAGAATAGGATATTCAACGCCATATTTTCAAGACAACAATCTTCCCTGACATACGTAATATGGTCTTGTGTAAAATTTACCAACAATACAATTTTATAGTAAGATTACCAACAATAAAATTTTATAGTAAAATTATCAGCAATATATGTTAACCGTAATTGAAGGCATACAATCGCGTTCAAAATATTTAGATTTTGGTTCTGTCTATATTTCTGAGATGCGGTATTATGTACAGTATTTACATTAGTCGGACTATTGTCCTCATCTTTGTCACAACGTTTCGTTATACGCTCCGGCCTTCTTCAGGTGGTTGGAATTTCGAACTGAACCCTTTATTTCGATCACTGTTCTAGTTCCACGTGCAATGTTTTTGATGGATGTCAGTTATCAGTTATCTCCACTGCCTTAACCAGGAATTGAACTCACCTTCTTTGGGTCTGTCACTGGATCTAACCAATGCCTTTATTCACTGTGCCATGTGTCCTTGAGGACATCTGGGTATGAACTTCTGAGTATTATAAACCTAATGTTTTCAGCATCATTTTTACCAGTGCTCATATTGCAATTTTTTGCTGTTATCCTTGCATGTCTTTACCAGAGTTCATATTGCAACTTTGTTATCATTGCTTTTCTCTGGCACTCCTTATTACTGGTTCCCATATTGTATTTATTTCTATGCTTGGTCGGCTCAGGAGATTTTTGTGCCCTAGCATATGTGCTGATTCCACAAAATTCAGAGGGAAAATTAGCAGGAGATAACTGATAACTGACATCCATCAAACATGGCACGTGGAACTAGAACAGTCTACCCCAGGGTTCAGTTCGAAATTCCAACCACCTGAAGAAGGCCGGAGCGTAAAACGGCCGAAACGTTGTGACAAATATGGCGACAAAGATTAGATTTTGGTATTAAATAACCCAGATAGATTGATATGCCGCTAAACAAAATCCACCAACCACCTTCTTGATGGCGGTTATAAGGTTTTCTATTAGGCTTGTTTCTTACTTGATGGTATCCCACACTGCATCATTTCTGAGGGGGTCTATGTAGGAGATTCCTAGGGTGATTGTTTAGCATCTCATTTCTCATGTAATGATTGTCACTGCCACTCCCCTAAGATTATCAGGTGTACAGAAAGGTTATTAGAGCCAATACGCAAAACATTCTGGTCTTTGATTTCAATATTTTCATATATTCTACCCTTTACACTAATCACAACCCTGACTGAAATCTGATCGGAAGTCCTAACCCATGATAAAGCCAAATGCAAACTATAACCCTAAGCTTAACTACTAATCCTAAGACTATCACCTATAAAATACAAATTTAACAGAAACACCTATGTAACTCATAAATCGAAACCTAACATCAAATTTGACTAAACCGCGAATTAAAATTCAACCTAACCCGTAATCTAAACGTAAAACCTAAATCTAACCCTAACACTAAACATAGCCGTGACAATAACCCTAGCTGTAGACTTAAACCTAAATTTTACCCTAACACTAGGCATATCCTAAACGTAGCCCTAATTATAACCCTAACCATAGCCTTAAACGTAGTATTAGATCTAAACCTAACCTAGTCCTAAACCTAACCCTAACGCTAGCCATAACCCTAAATATATCCCAAATCCTGAGCCTTATCCTAGCCCTAAATCTAGCCCTAGCCCTAAATCTAAGACTAGACCTAGCCCTAACTAACCCTAACCCCAAACCTAGCCCTAACTCTAGCCCTAAACATAATTCTAAACCTAGAAGAAACATAGCCCTAAAACTAGCCCTAAAACTAAACCTAACACTAAGGCTAACCTTAACCCTAGCTCTAAACATAAACCTAAAGCTAACTACAGCACTAGCTATAAACATAGACCTAACCCTAAACATAAACCTATCCATAGCCATAAATCTAACTCTAAAGGCCTAAAACTAATCCTAATCCTAAACGCTAACTCTAAATCTAACACTAAACATAGCCATAGGTATAAACGTAAACCTAGCCTTAGCCCTAACCCTAAAACTTAACCTAACCCTAAAAATAACGAGAACCATAAACTTAACCCTAAGCCTAGTCCTAACAATAAACATAACCCTAGACTAAACATAGACCTAACCCTAAACATACTTAAACATAAACCTAAACTTTGGCCTAATCATAAGCTTAAGCTAAGCCTAGTCCTAGCCCAAACCATAACTAAACCTAACTCTAACCGTAAACCTAACCCTAGCCGTAACCCTAACCTTAAAATTAGCTATAAGCCTAGCTCTCTACCTACCCATAATCCTAACTGCAACCGAGACCTAACACTTACCTAACCCTAGCACTCACCCTAATCCTAAACCTAACCTCAAAACTAGCCCTAGCTCAAACCCTAACCCTAGCCCTAGCCATAACACTAACCCTAACCCTATCCAAACTCTGAATGTAGCCCTAACGCCAATAACAGAATATACCCCTAACCAAATTTTGAATGTGGTCGTAACGCCAAAACCAGAATCTAAACCCTATCCAAACTCCTAATATAACCCTAATGGCTAAACCAGAATCTAAACCCTATCCAAACTCCTAATATAGCCCTAATGGCTAAACCAGAATCTAAACCCTATCCAAACTCCTAATATAACCCTAATGGCTAAACCAGAATCAAAACCCTATCCAAACTCCTAATACAGCCCTAATGGCTAATCCAGAATCAAAACCCTATCCAAACTCCTAATATAACCCGAACCAAAACCAGAATCTAAAACATATTCAAACTCCTAATATAGCCCCAATGGCTAAAACCAGGCTAATCAAACCCATCCAAACTCCTAATATAACCCTAATGGCTAAACCAGAATCTAAACCTATCCAAACTAAACCCCAAAATCCCAGAATCTAAACCCCAATCCAAACCCCTAATATAGCCCTAATGGCCAAACCAGAATCTAAACCCTATCCAAAATTAATCCCTAATATAGCCCCTAATGGCTAAACCAGAATCAAAACCCTATTCAAACTCCTAATATAGCCCCAATGGCTAAACCAGAATCAAAACCCTATCCAAACTCCTAATATAGCCCTAATGGCTAAAAACCAGAATCAAAACCCCATCCAAAACCCCTAATATAGCCCCTAATGGCTAAACCAGAATCAAAAAACCTATCCAAACTCCTAATATAGCCCTAATGGCTAAACCAGAATCAAAACCCCATCCAAACTCCTAATATAGCCCTAATGGCAAACCAGAATCAAAACCTATCCAAACTCCTAATATAGCCCCTAATGGCTAAAACCAGAATCAAAACCCTATCCAAACTCCTAATATAGCCCCAATGGCTAAACCAGAATCCCAAAACCCTATCCAAACTCCTAATATAGCCCCAATGGCTAAAAAACCAGAATCTAAACCCTATCCAAACTCCTAATATAGCCCTAATGGCTAAACCAGAATCTAAACCCTATCCAATCCTAAACCCTAATGGCTAAACCAGAATCCAAACCATATCCAAGCCTATAGCCCTAATGGCTAAAACCAGAATCAAAACCCTATCCAAACTCCTAATATAGCCCAATGGCTAAACCAGAATCAAACCCATCCAAACTCCTAATATAGCCCCAATGGCTAAACCAGAATCAAAACCTATCCAAACTCCTAATATAGCCCCAATGGCTAAACCAGAATCTAAACCCCATCCAAACTCCTAATATAGCCCTAATGGCTAAAACCAGAATCTAAACCCTATCCAAACTCCCAATATAGCCCTAATGGCTAAAACCAGAATCTAAAACTATCCAAACTCCTAATATAGCCCTAATGGCTAAACCAGAATCAAACCCCTATCCAAACTCCTAAAATAACCCCAATGGCTGCTTGTGAAAAAACCATATCCAAAAATATACCCTATCCAAATCTCCCCATAATAATATAGCCCCAATGGCTAAACCAGAATCAAAACCATCCAAACTCCTAATATAGCCCCCAATGGCTAAAACCAGAATCAAACCCCATCCAAACTCCTAATATAGCCCCAATGGCTAAACCAGAATCAAAACCCTATCCAAACTCCTAATATAGGCCTAATGGCTAAACCAGAATCTAAACCCTATCCAAACTCCTAATATAGCCCTAATGGAACTAAACCAGAATCAAAACCCTATCCAAACTCCTAATATAGGCCTAATGGCTAAACCAGAATCTAAACCCTATCCAAACTCCTAATATAGCCCCTAATGGCTAAACCAGAATCTAAACCCCATCCAAACTCCTAATATAGCCCCAATGGCTAAACCAGAATCTAAACCCTATCCAAAACTCCTAATATAGCCCTAATGGCTAAACCAGAATCTAAACCCTATCCAAACTCCTAATATAGCCCTAATGGCTAAACCAGAATCTAAACCCTATCCAAACTCCTAATATAGCCCTAATGGCTAAACCAGAATCTAAACCCTATCCAAACTCCTAATATAGCCCCAATGGCTAAAAAGCCAGAATCTAAACCCCTATCCAAACTCCTAATATAGCCCCAATGGCTAAACCAGAATCTAAACCCCATCCAAACTCCTAATATAGCCCTAATGGCTAAACCAGAATCTAAACCCTATCCAAACTCCTAATATAGCCCTAATGGCCAAAACCAGAATCAAAACCCTATCCAAACTCCCAATATAGCCCTAATGGAATCTAAAACCAGAATCAAAACCCTATCCAAACTCCTAATATAGCCCAATGGCTAAACCAGAATCAAAACCCTATCCAAACTCCTAATATAGCCCTAATGGCTAAACCAGAATCAAAACCCTATCCAAACTCCTAATATAGCCCTAATGGCTAAACCAGAATCAAAACCCTATCCAAACTCCTAATATAGCCCTAATGGCTAAACCAGAATCAAAACCCTATCCAAACTCCTAATATAGCCCTAATGGCTAAACCAGAATCAAAACCCTATCCAAACTC